GGTGTAGTTGTGTGTGGTTGTGTGTCTTACCCTTATTTTTTCTTGTGTTGAAGTGTAGGCTGCGCATCAGGATAGAGTGGAAGAGCGCAATCAAGACTACCGCATCATCAGCGGCAAACTATTGGACAGACACGACGGCTTCTCTGTGCTCATGGCCCATCACTATGTGTTCTGGTAGGTGCATATGTTATAAGGCGTTTAGCTTATTGGGTGTAATGTCCATTACTATGTGTTCTGGTAGGTGCATACGTTGTTTAACGTTTAGCCCATTGGGTGTAATATCTTCTAATGACCCATTACTGTGTGTTCTGGTAGGTACATGCGTTGTTTAACGTTTAGCCCATTGGGTGCAATGTCTTCTAATGACCCATCACTGTGTGTTCTGGTAGGTGCATACCTTGTTTAACGTTCAGTTCATTGGGTATAATGTCCATTACTATGTGTTCTGGTAGGTGCATACGTTGTTTAATGTTTACTTCATTGGGTGTAGTGTCTTCTAATGGCCCATTACTGTGTTCTGGTCGGTGCATACGTTGTATAGCGTTTAGTTCATCTGGTGTAGTGTCTTCTAATGGCCCATTACTGCGTTCTGGTTGGTGCATACGCTGTATAGCGTTTAGTTCATTGGGTGTAATGTCTTCTAATGACCCATTATTGTGTTCTGGTAGGTGCATACGTTGTAAGACGTTTAGTTGAATTGGGTGTTGTGTACATCAATGTGTGTTCTGGTAGGTGTATACGTTGTATAACGTTTAGTTCATTGTGCGTCTTCTGATTCTCTGCTGACAGTACAAACAACATGAGAGTTTTTAGCCTACGAATGATTGCGATTTTGGTTTTACATGACAACATTAATTTTAGTCTGTAGAAAACCCTTCAGTTGATAGTTTCCAGATTGCTCACAAGTCTATTTACAGTCTATTTGTAGGTTTAGGTTGATAGTTTCCAGATTGCTTGCGAGTCTATTTACAGTCTATTTGTAGGTTTAGGTTGATAGTTTCCAGATTGCTCACAAGTCTATTAGTCTATTTGTAGATTTAGTATTGATAGTTTCCAGATT